TCGGGAACGGGTACTGTGTTTATAGACCCGAACCCATATCCAGATAACCTGCATATAGTGTGCAAAGCATTGGTCACTAAAATACTGTTCAATGGGTTGACAGCCATTGGCGTCGAGTTTATAGTGAATGACATTTCGTATACGGTTTACGCCAACAGAGAAGTCATTGTTTCCGCCGGTAATTATTAATAATTAATAATTATAAATTATAAATGAATAATAAATAATATAGATATTTAGGTGCCATAAATACACCCCAATTATTGATGCTCTCAGGCGTGGGTCCGAAACAGCACTTGAATAGCCTTAATATACCGGTTGTATTCGATTTACCGGTTGGACAGCATTACAGGAATCATCTAAATACTCCAATTATAACCCAATTAAAACCACAATACATGTACCTAGCTAATAAAGTACCTCAATTAAATATAGATGAATTGAAACAGCTGTATTATGAACATGGTGGACCGTTGGCAAACATTGTCACATTAGTATTATATTTAAACACACGTCTAAACCGAGACAAAGAGTGGCCAAATGTGATGCTTGAATTTGGACACATCTCTAGTGTTATATACATTACCGTTGGTTTAGTGCGGTTTAAAAGTTACGGCTCAATACGGCTCCAGTCAACCGATCCATTGTTGCCCCCATTGATTGACCCGAACTGGTATTCACAGCCCATTGACAGAGAAAATATGTTGGATGCGGTGACCATGGTGTTTGAGATGTTAGAACAATCAACATTGGCACAATATTTACAACCTTTACCTTCATTTTTATCAATAGGTTGTCCCGACTGTCCGGACAAACAGTATTTGTATGAATGCGTTGAGGGATTGAAGTGTTATATTAAATACAATACAAACTCTGGTGATCACCCGTCGGGCACCTGTCGTATGGGTGCGATAGAGAGACCGGACGTTGTAGTCGACCCCCAAATGAGGGTTAAGGGGGCCAACAATCTAAGGGTTTGCGACGCCTCTGTCTTTCCCGTTATACCCAACGCTAACACCGCCTCCGCAGCGATACTCACGGGCTATAAATGCGCGCAAATTATTATATCAGATTATAATTTATAAAATGTATTTTTAAAATATTTATAGAGTAAATTAATAAAATATAATTAATCAAATAAAACTTAATAGGTGTAACAATACCTGCGGGAAGTAACATCGAGGTACAGCCATTTGTCATACATAGAGACCCAGATAATTTTGTTGACCCTGATGAATTTAGGCCCAAAAAAATTATCAAAGTAAAGCACCCGCCGTTTGCATTTGTGCCGTTCGGGTGCGGCCCTCGACAGTGCGTTGGTCTGAGGTTTGCCTTAAATGAGATGCGTTTAGGTATTGCTAAGACTATACACAAGTATGAGTTTAATCTCGCGCCTGGATTTAAGGTACAAATAATCTTATACTTAATTGTTTTAATTAATTTTTTATTTTTATGAATTATTTAATTAACTATAATTAACTATTCACTGAATTTGACATAGTATTGTCTGTAACGTTATGTCTTTTTTACTGTATGTAATGTTTTTACTTTACGTTGTATGTGAACACCCGTAGATTGAAGGCTGCTTCAACCCTGCTTTGTTGGTACAAAATGTGTACAATATTCTAATTTTTACATTTTATTTTCTACTTCTATTTATTACAATAGTGTCAATACATAAATGCCATGAATGCTATACTATTTCTATGGATATTGTTTTGCAAAATTATTATTAATGTTATTTAAGACCGGATTATAATGGTATAGAAAAGGGTTCATAATATCCATCTCTTGTGTCGGACAGTAAACACTCAACGCTTCCCAATTTTTACCTATTAATTGCAATTTTTATTTTATATTTATTTACATAACATTTATTAAAACTTACAGTAAATTATAATCAATGCGATCAGTGCGTAGAGAATTACACAAATTAGCACAATTGCAAGAAACTCATACACCTTGGTTATTTCCATTTTATATTATTAATTTGTTTAATTAATTTTAATCATAAATAATTTTTAATAATATTCAAACTCAAGCTATTTTAATAAATAATGAACTATATTATAATTTTATAATTATGTTTACTACAAAATAGTATAAAATCATTTAATTTAATATTATTATATTAGTTTTTAAAATAATTACTGATTGCCTTTATATCGTTATATAAACTTCTTTATAATACAATATAAGTATACTTTTCATGATTTATTAATGACAACTATGTGAATAAAATAATATGTTTGCAATTAATATGTTATGATTTTAAAATTATAAATAAAGTTTTATAATATAGTTTTTTTAAAATAATATTCCATGTCTTAAATGTCACGGCAATCACTCGTCATAAAATTAATAGTCCATAAAAATATAAATTTATCAAATGTTTTGCCAATTATTCATGGTTTGGTAGAAATGAGACTATTAGATTATATTTGATTGCATGTATTCTTAATGCCATAAAAATAAATTATGATTACAAGAGTATTATTAAATTAATGAGATTTAAATGTCAAGAATAAATTGTATAATTGTTAACATTATTGCGAGCAATTGGTTAGATAAATATGTGAACACATTTTATTGTCATATTAACACACTTTTCAAATAATAAATAATTATTTGTTAACATTGACTTTGTTTCCCGTTGGTCTGACGGGCCTCACCATCATATAAACACATATTCATAGCAGAATTGTTGTTTAAAATTAATAATGAATGCGATATCTTGAGAAATAACACAAAAAAAGTAATCAATTTTGTCTATGTTTTGAGAACAAAATATTGGTATGCATTGCATGTATTGTATTCTTCATATCATTTTGTGAAAGTTTGAGGACATTGTTCATGAAAGACACGTAGTCTGACAGCTCTTCTGTGGGCTGTCAATGGGTTAACAAAAATCTTTAGATTTAACTACAGTAAAGCTTAGAATAAATTAATTTTTCTAATTAATCTATTTTAACCACAATTCAGATATGAATAATGTGGTTTATAGGATCGTTCGGCTACCCCCTCCCCCGACCCCCCTACCCTATGGGATTTAACATGGGATTG